TGGCTAGGATAAGGTATCTGGTTAAAATGTAGTTTTGAATTATGGTACTTATAGGATTTTTACATATATAAACATTTAATTGTAACACGCCATTTTCAACTTATTGATAGCTATGAAGCTTTTGAAGTTTACGAGACCAAAAAGGTGTGCTTTTGAATTTCATCTTTGGTATATAGATATATATATTTGTTAATGTATACATTTCTCAAAGTTTCTATACACATAGCACGTTTTCTTAATATACAATGTCGTAACAATCTACAATATGAACATCTATAAATTGCCAAGAATACAGCAACATTTGTAGGAAAATACATAACTTGATATGGATGTTCAGACTTTGAATTATGAAGTTAATTGTTATTACTAGCTTTTAAAACATTATTGGAAGTTAAAGTGTACCTTATATTTTCATCAATGTTGCTAAAAGAATGTTTCAGTCTTAACATTGAAATAGTTTTCCAGGTAGTGGATTTTTCTTGAAAGGGATAAGAATAGTGACTAAACTCACACTATGCTTGCAAAGAGAAAGTTTGATGTGTTGATTTTTTAGGTAGCAAGAATTATTTCGATTGGATTTAATTAAAGTGTTTGTAACTAGCTGAAATCAACTATAGGAGGTGAGATTCATGAACAGTGGCATGTATCATACCAAATGTGAGCGTGTTTTATTTGGTTATAAATATAGATTTTCCATTATGCATATTGAATTATTTCGAGAAGTACACAGTTTTCTGAATATTTTTTACATTATTTCAGAGCATGGTGCAGTTGAGATGCATGAAAATACAGACTGTAAGTGTATAGCTAGAGTAAAAAAAAATATTATCGATGTAGTATTGCTTTGTAGATCCCTTTACATGTACTAAATTTGTATCTGAAAGAAGCCTGAAAGTTTTTTGTCGTTGTTGTTGTTAAGCACAAAGCTACACAAGGGGCTATCTGTTATTTACCCACCACGGGTAAAAAACATATTTTTAGCCCAAACACTTCTGAACTGGGGGATGTCTGAAAAAGAATAACATGTAGGTCTTAATGAATTTACGTGATCAGAAAATTGAGGTTAGCGCCCATGTGATGTTTGGCATATTTTGGAAACTCGTGAAAGAACCAAAGTTTGCAGTGTTAGCCTTCATTTCTTCTCTACTGAACCTGGCCTTTGCATAAAAAACAGGTAGTAATGAAAGGAATGTGGCTGGGTCTCAGAATAAGTGTGGGCCATCTTCAGTGTAATGACGACTTCAAGGAACACGTCTGACCTGTGGTCCAGTGAACCAGGACGTCCATAGGCGTTAAGAATACATTGTATAGAAGAAATGTATGCATGAGTATATACAAGCTTGTAGAAATGTTGCTTGACCATGGCAGTAGTTTTGACATTTTTATCCCAAAGGAATATTAGGACAGAGGATCATTGTAACTGGCTTGTTACAGCTTTAAACTACACTTCTGTCCAATCACATTTCTTTTTACTTTACATGTTCAATCCTGGCTCTTTATGTTTAACATGAATTTCTTAACCCTTCTGGCTATATTTTTAGACAGTTGTAGACCATTCTCTTTGTGTTTCAAGCCAAATCCTAAAAGCCCCAATAAGTCATAGAAGATAAAGATGGAGGGAAAATTGACTACAATTACGAAAGTTCTAGGCTAGAAACCGGAAAAACCACAAGAACGGCTTACATTGATACTGAAGTTATCAGAAATGGTTCTTTTGGCGTGACTTACAAGATTCAACTTGTAGATGCTGGGGAGTTGGCAAGAGCATTAAGAATAGAGAGCAGCATATACTGAAACCACTGGTTCGTTGTGATAGAATACGTTTTCTACTGAAGTGGTGAACTGGAAGATAAAGTGTAACACAATTTGATGATATAATTTATTCTTGAGGTAGCATATAGAGTAGCAAGATATTATAGGAACTGTCATCCAAACATCAAGCCACAAAAACTACTTCTTGATCGAGACACAGGAGTTCCAAAGTTGCTGTGAGTAATCAAATGCATTCCTTTCCTTTATTTTAATTATTTTTGTTTAATATTTGTGTTAAAAATATCTTTTTTGGTATTGTAACTGTGGTTTGTATATATATATATAATATAATTGTATAATGTTACTACAACGTCAGAAACCGGGTTTCGATACCCGTGGTGAGCATAGATAGCCCTTTCTGTACCTTTGTGCTTACCTACAAACAAATAAACAAACAAAGTGTAATACATATTTTTGTTTAGTATATATGTAATTAAGTTTATATCTTTCATTTTGGCTTCTAAGATTTTAAGCATTACTGTGTATGTGTAGAACTTAATAGTTCACTTGTGCACATATATAGATATTTTACTTGATGATAGTGTACTTTGTTTATTATGAAGTGTTTTACTTTCTTTTAACATTGTATATATATATTGTTTTTTTCTTAAAGGATTTTTATGTGTACTTTTTGCTGAATGGTTATTTTAATGTGTTTTAAAGTACTTTACTGTGAATTTTAAAGATTCTAGATGTTTTTTTGATAGATCGTTTAGGGAGTGAATAAACTGGAATGGACGGAAACTGCCTTTTGTAAAAAAAAAATACAAGTGTAGAAAACAACGTTTCGAAAGTATTCTATCTTTCTTCTTCAGATGTAGATGTTACTAGAGGTTGTTTCATTTTATTTTCTTATTTTGCTTTCTATTTTTATTTTTTTGCTTCTTCTGCATGTTAAATGTAGTTTTGTTTTATAAAAAATATTTTATTGTTAACCTGTTTTATATGTACCCTGGTGGGTTAGTGATAATTTTACAAACTTACAACGCTAAAATACGGGGTTCGATCCCCCGCATTGGACACAGCAGATGCGGCTTTGCTTTAAAACAAACAACAATAATAAGTGTTTTATGTTCCTAAAAACGATGTTTATATTTGTGTTTTCAGCTGATGTATGTTTATCGTAGCTAAAGGGTTTTATTTTGTACTGTAATCATTATTAAATGATTTAGTTTTGTTTTGAATTTTGATCTTTGTTAAAGGGCAGTTGTTTCTAACTTGAACTATCTTTGTTAGGTTGTTCTATTAATATTGTTAGAATGTTGAAGTGTTAGAGCTTTGCAGGGGTGACCGTGAGTTATTCCAATTTATTGATGGATGTGGGAGTTAAGTTTTAATTGGTTTTAGGTTTTTAAAGTTAGGGGATTAAAGAAGAGAGAAATATAATATGCAGGCATATCATGTGTTTTCTACCTTTTTAATTTATATGAAGAATATTAAAAATTTCCGCGTTCACAGTGTGTTTAGTTCCCAATATCGAACAGGTCTTCAGATGTTCTTTCTCACAAGAAAAATACCTGTAACTTTACACGTGAAATACCAAAATAGACAACAGTATTTCCTATGGACCAGTCGGGTTGTGTTCCAAGGACATCACCTGTTGTTGCACTAAATCGAAAGTGATCTTAAGGCACATGGGTGACGTGCAAGCCTTGAGAAGCCTGGTCTTTGTTTATACCAAACTCTCTCCAATATAATAAGATTACTAGAGCGCACTAAAATTCAGATTATTAGAGAATAATGACAAAAAGCGAACTAAGATTCAAAATTTGAAAGAATACTACAGAACACTAGAGAGCCATATAGAACTTACTTAGAAGAGAGATTACTTAGAGTTAAAGAAAATTGAGACTGAAGATTACATACATATTGGATTTAGATTTAGATATGAGACTTAGGGAATTCAGCAAGTTGAATAAATTGCTTTTCCAGAAAGATTCTTTGTTTGAATAACACTTCAAACAATTGTGTTAACACAGTTTATAGCTCTAGAACCAGATGTACACTAGTCATTACACTACAGGCACTTCGATAAGTGTTAACTTGACTTTGTTTTAGTGTAATGAAGATTATGATTGTTCAAATCCTTTCTTTTACGTAAAGACTCGTTTGAAGGAATAAAAAATTCAGACTTTACTCTGTAATACAGTATCTGACGGATCCTCTTGTCGTTGCGATTACTGCAGATTACTCTGTATTGATTATTATTTTAAAATTGAATAGAAACAATATGACACCTAAAGTGGAATTCGAATGCCAGTCGTTCGGAGAAGTTATCAGCATAGATGCAGCGTCTTAAATCACTATGCCAACCCCTTCATTTCAGATGCCCCTAGGACCTTGAATCATCAGTTTTAACCTAATAGATAGAAATATCAAAAGCATGAATAAAAATATTAATGATATAGGTCCTACAGTTGTTAACAATTCCTATTTCAGATTAACAGTGCTACAGTTGTTAACAATTCCTATTTCAGATTAACGGTGCTACAGTTGTTAACAATTCCTATTTCGGATTAACGGTGCTACAGTTCTTAACAATTCCTATTTCAGATTAACGGTGCTACAGTTCTTAACAATTCCTATTTCAGATTAACGGTGATACAGTTGTTAACAATTCCTATTTCAGATTAACGGTACTACAGTTGTTAACAATTCCTATTTCAGATTAACGGTGCTACAGTTGTTAACAATTCCTATTTCAGATTAACGGTGCTACAGTTGTTAACAATTCCTATTTCAGATTAACAGTGCTACAGTTGTTAACAATTCCTATTTCAGATTAACATCTGCCAGTAGAATATTGTTTTGTGCCAGTCCTCCTTTGTTCACTAAATGTTTAGTCTCTTGAGCAAGAATAATCATAACAATGATATTATTACTTATTGACTGCTTATTTTTCTTGATGTAAAACATACACAAAACTACTGTTTTTAATGTGATGTGAGAATGTTTAGACCTATTTAAAAACACAAGATTAATTAATGGCATTTCAGCATTTGGAACAGCTGTGGCAATACAATACCGCAAAGATTGGCCAAAATCTTCGTCCTGAGAACAGATTCACGGCAATGTTACTCCACCTTTCTGACTTTGGTGAAGTTAATACACTAGATGGTCCACAACACAGCTAACTCGGAGTTGTCGAAAAATAAGAAACTACTGTTTCCTGTGGGCTTCGAATTTTTTTTGTTATACTGAAATTAAATTAACAGATGAACAACGGTTGACTAAATCAGAGTTTTACTGTTTAGTTTGATTTGGTTGTAACTAAGCACAAAGCTACACAATGGGCTGTCTGTACTATGCCCAACACGGGTATCAAAATACGGATTCTAACGTTGTAAGTCCGCAGACATACCGCTGTGCCACTGGGGGGCTTTACTGTTTAACGTTTCCTTCAACTACGAATTGCGTATAGATAGTAAATACATGTATATAATTGTAAAATGTTTATTCTTTATATAGACAGAAATTACAATTGTAACAAGCTGCAAATTTTTAACTAGTCGCTTCCATAAAGGATGTAAAATTTATTTAGAGAAACTTTCTCTTAGATATATAGTTTTTGTTTTTTGTAGTTAAGCACAGAGCTACACAATGGGCTATCTGTGCTGTGCCTATCACGGGTATCGAAACCAAGCCTGTGGCGTTAGAAGTCTACAGACTTACCATTGTGCCATTGGGGGCAGATATTTTAGAAACCAGATCTATGCAGTGTGTAACAAGTTCTTATCATTTACAAAAGTTTATTCTTGTCTCTCTATATTGAGGCTTCTTTGTTTCTGTTTTTTTTCAGGCGTTGGGTTGACACTGTACACTTTCTACATTTGTACATATGTCTTTTATACATCTGTGGAGGCCCGGCACGGCCAGGTGGTTAGAGCACTTGACTCACAATCTGAGGGTCGCGGGTTAGAACCCCAATTCCACCAAACATGCTCGCCCTTTCAGCCGTGTGGGCATTATAATGTGATGGTCAATCCAACTATTCGTTGGTAAAAAGAGTAGCTCAACAGTTGAGTGATGACTAACTGCCTTCTCTCTAGTCTTTCACTGCTAAATTATTCGTGTAGCTATGCGCAAAATTCAAAACAAACATCTGCGGCTCATCGGCTTTGCATTTCTCTTTTTTTTATCTTATCTATTTTATTTTTCTGCACCTTTAGGCTTGTAAGTAAAACCTAATTACTGTTTATCTAAATTTTGTGTGTTTCAGATATTCGTCCCTAATTTTGATATGATATATTAGATGGAAAGTACGCAGTTAACAGCACCCACCGCCAACGCTTGAGTTACTCTGATCAGATTCAAGAATGGGATCTGCCGTTAATCTTATAATAGAATCCCAGCCCGAAAGTGCGGAGTGTGATTTTTTTGTTTATTTTTTAGGTGGTAGAGGGACGTGAACACGACATCCCAAATTAATAATCCGGTATTCTAGCCACTGGATTATGGATGCTCGACCAGTTTATGTAAAACAACTGTATAATGCAGTGTTGACTTACTGAACCACCAGGAACAAAAACACACTAAATATACAAATATCCGTTTAATATGTCGTTTTTTGTTCTTCTGTCAAATCTGAAAGTATTTGAGTAGTTTAAAAATCACGAAAGATGGACTAAAACATTTTATATTAAACTTACCTGAAGCCTTTAGAAAATATTGCTGCAAAAATCGTCAGGGTAAAAAGAAAAAGGAGAAAAGACGAAAAGAAAAATAAGTCAGCTGCTTTAAAGTGAAAAAAAAAGTTTAGAATTTTGATGAAGTGCGAATAATTACTTTTTACAACTACATAGTCTCAATTTAGTTCTTAGACAAAACGTCATGTCTTTTCGCCACGAAGTCTCTAAATACCCACCATTGGCATACTTAGTTACATAGAAATTCGTGTTCTCTTCACATTTAGGCGAGTACGATTTCCCGTCATCCCATGCGATGCTCTTTCCCTATTTCACGTAATCTAGCAGTTTCGAGATCAATAGGATAGTGGCGTTGGGTGGATACGCTGTTTCCACGAGCTCAAGGGTGATCTATTCTTCCCTCTCTATTCCTGTGTGAAAAAAAAAACAATGTTTAAAAAAGAACATGGTTTATTTATCTTATTTTCTCAGAGAGCACTATGTTTTCTGCTAACTACTGAAAGTGCTCAGGTCAAGTGACTGATAATGAACTTGTCACAAAGGGTGTGTGCTCTTTGTTAACTCGTGCAACATGTGCTAAGTTTAACTCGCGCCGGCTTGTGACGAGGTACAATACAAACAAGGGCACGACCGCCTGGTTCAACTAGAAACCCAGGTTAAGCGTTACGCTGGATTACCCTGGTGATTTCATCACTTCATCTAACCCGAAGTCCACCGGACTTTCTCATTAAGATAAGCCCTCAAGAAGAGGGAAAATCGAGTATCAACGTCAGATCTGAGCGACTGCTTGGATCGTGAAGGAAAACCATTCTCCAGTATATCGAAAGTAAGTAAATTCATAATTCCAGTCAAATCTTTTCAAAGTTGTCTATACTATATTCGATTTTATTTTACATCTACACATATACAAATGAGTACACGTTCATTTTCATAACAAATATGAATGCATGCTAAATTTGGTGCATAACCTTGTTGGTTCAGGTGTTTATCCGAGAAGACAGTGCCTTATGAAAGTACTTATTTTAGGATGTGCATGGTGTTGTGGTGGAGGACTGTGTTATTTCTTAGAATTAGTTTGAAGTTATAGGCCATGTTCTTATATAGAACATGTATTTGTTGTTCCCGATTTGTGCACGTGATGTGTATTTTGTAGGTTGAAAAACTCAATTCGGGCTCAAGAGTATTTTGGGTTTCAGCTTTACCCGGATGTTTATTTCGAGAGTTATTAATACGGTATTCAAACAAAATGGCAGACCAAGTTTGTGTACAGAGTATACCTTTGTATAAAATTATAACAACGTGTCAGGATAAACGTCGAGAAACAGGGTTAAATTCCTGCTTAATCACGAGTAAGATCAATAATATAAACAAAAATCGTTGTAAACATATACACCCAAAAAATTCTTCGAACTACTGTTTTATAAAACTTAACTTGATAGGAAATGGGTATGATGGAACACCATAATGAGATTATTCATGATGTTAGAAAAACACCTCGGTTCAAGAAGTCTTGATAGAAATGAATAAAAACCCTATAACCCGAGCGCTTTCGAAAGGTGGACCTTTCTTCTTCAGAGACACAGAAGAAAGGTCCACCTTTCGAA